GGGTTTCGACCTTTGGGCGTAGGACGTAAGGCAACGAGATCAACACATGAGTGTACTGGCATTTGAATATACTATTACCCTGAGTCACTACAAAATTGAGCCTCGTCGCTCGCGATTGATAATCATGCGGATCAATTGTCTATACTTTTCGTTTTTGTATGGACAATGATATATATAATATAACAACCACTAGCTACTCCAGCGTGTCCGGCACAACCGACATTTGGTAACTCCACAAGACACATACAAAATCAACAGGCGCGCTAAGATTGAATATATTGCCCACTCGCTCATCAAAACCAGGTCAGCAGGTTGATAATTTGCTTCGATGCTTCCAGTTTCACATGATTCAATGTCGAGCATGGCCGTGCCGGGCATTAATTTTTCCGGGCGGATATGACCAATGAGAAGTCGTCCCGCCAGCAGCATTCCACCCCAACAACAAAACCTATTTCCAATCCAACCCTACCAAAAGTGGGGTTGTCGGATGTCCACCAAATTGACCAGAGTGCAAAAAGTGTGGACATACACACACCAGAAATCCTATTTATAACAGGTGACAATCGGGAGAGCATGGCGTCTGTCCTTTGTAGGTGGGGTTGGCATTGGCGTCTCTCCATTGTCCGGTTCGGCCGACAGCTGAGACACTCCTCCGGCATTAGCTGGGGCAAGAGCTGGGTCTAGTCGATGCACCCTTGCACAATCAGGGTTTGTGGACGACTCTTGGGAGGCCCTCCTTGTTGAAATGGATGTGGCTCCTATGACACAGGAGCTACAGCTGCAAAGAAGGACGTGCCGATTTGAGAAGGTACATCTTGACAGCAGCGGCCCTTTACAACGCTGCAATGTTTCCCACGCCATCAAAACGAAAAATTGTCCGGCAACTAATCGTCATTCAATATCATTGGTTAGGGTCCAGAATAACGACCGTAGGGAGTTTTGTTGGGCAAAATCTGCTTAAGCTTTCGGAGACAATATTGTAACATAAAGGGAAAATGAAGGTGTGGGGCCTCACAATACTTGGATTTTGAGACACTTGAAATACACTTGCTCCAAATTGAAAGAGCTATACCCGGCGTTGCACAGGTCGAACCGGTCCTGTAATACTACTGAAGTACAAGACTTGGGAACAGAAAATGGTAAACCTTACAGCATAGACCGACATATCAACCACACGCCCCACAACGTATCGCCCTATACCCAATGATCGAGTATTCATGTTTTGCCGCATACTGCTGACTAATAACGTTTTGGGAGGCCTAATCTATGCGATTGAATTCCAGCCATTGAGGCTGACGCGAACCAGTAAATTGCATGATCAAAAATGATCCAAGGCGAAGAAGACCTATAACATACCCGCCTCATACAATTCATATACTCAGTGAAATGGTTCATCTTGGACTGGAACATGGGCGTTCTGACTCGGATTAATGCCAAGGCTCGCGATCGTAGAGAAAGACCGACCACGTCAAGACAACCATCATACTCAAAGTATACTGCGGAAAACGTCATTTTACCAGCTGGGGGGTACATTGTACTACGAGAGCTCGTGATTCATATTCCCGTACTACAATGCGAGAATAGTCCTTGCGCTATGATAACTTGAAGTGCCTTAAGCTGTAGTACTACACCATCGATCCAGGATGTCTTTCTTGTCGCCATGGTTTACCCATTGTGGATACAAGAGAAACATACTGAATCTTTCCCAGCCCAGTCAATACTCCTCCTCTTCTTGTACATTCCAACT